GGGAACAGAGTCTGAAAAAGATTTCTGCGCGCACAGTGTAAAGCGACGCGACGTGCTTAGCTTTCCAAACTTTTCTTCAGTTCGTGTATCAGATATATAGATATGTTCTTCAACGTTCGGCGCCGAGTGAATTTTCACTCGCCAAACTGCTGTATTTATTCCCCAAATTTGATACGTGTGGCACGCGTGTATTGATCGCAAGGCTGATTCACACGTGGAGGATGTGCAGGGCGCAGCGTTGCGTGGATGGGGAAGGAAGGACGCCGCGGCGAGAGAATTTAGGCCAGACCACGAGTGTCAGAGGGAGATAAGGATCGTTAGCAGGTCCCATTAGCAATTCAAACGGCTTCCGGTCTCCGTGAGCTGGTATCGCTGGTACGAGAGAAGGAAGGTGTTGCCTCCGGTAAACACGAGTTGCTTGAACTCTTGGAATCGCTTGGAACAAAAAGGAAAAAAGCTGCCAAGTAGCTGGCGCGCGCCTGAACGTTACGTGGCTTCGGCTCATTCCAGCTGGCGAATATAACCACCGAGGAACTGCCTGCCACGCGTGCAACCGTGTGCATCGGATCCGCGATACTGCCTCGAACGAACGAAAAGACAGAGAGAATTCAAGCTTTTTATTTTTGAAATTTAAGTTCTCTATTTTTCGAACGTTCGCGGCCATCGTGTGCGCGAGTAGTGATAAGCTCTTTATGACCGACAAAGAAGCGACAAAGTCCCATTACTTGATAAAATTCTCCCGAAAACTGCGACCGAGGGAATAAAAAAGGCAGTCAGCATTTAGTTTTCAAATGTTTGTGCCTGAACAAATTTTTGTTCTATAGCCAACACGTCGCTACACCCGAGAACCATTCTTTTGGTCGTAATTTTCTACGCGTAAATCTTGATTTTTACACTTACAAGAGAGCATCACCGATTTTGATGAAATTTGGCATAAATGTAGTTTTTAGAAAAAAATATTTGACCCGTATTTTTTCTTTCCTTTTTTTCATTGGCAATCGTTGAAGGGGTGAAAACTACCCTCAAAGTTTGGGAAAATATTTCGTCAAATATCTCGAAAATTACCGAGGATACGGTTTTCGTGTAAATTGATAAAATTAGTGTTTCTTAATGATGCATACAATTTTGCATACGAGAAACCTTTTGTTTAAACAAATATATTGAAGAAGCCATATTTTTTCCAAGTTTTCCCAAATAAATATTACTAAATTTCTTTGAATATTTTTTTATGAAAACTATATATATATATATATAAATATTATATAAAACACAAGTTACAGACAAAATGAAACCTTGGTTTTTGCATTAAAAAAAAAATTCATTATTTTCAAATCTTTCGATAATTTCTTGTAGATTAATCATTTCTTTCCGATCAGTCTATACTTAATTAAGTTATAACTTAGAGACTCGCAGTCTTTGGCGATCCCACCAAATTGTCGTGTATTTATTTATTTATTTATTTATTTTGGAATTCCGCGAGACTTCCAT